CCCTCAACCAGAGACTCAACTAGTAATTAACTTTCTCAAAGGAAGCGATGTTGGCCAGCGCATAACTGAAATATTTATCCAATTAATTTCTACCTTGGGTTGCCAAGCAATTTATTGCAACATTTTCATTACACTCCCAGCCACTGCCGCTGCCGCTGCCACTGCCACTGCCTGATGCCTCTTCCTTGGGCTCCTAGTTCGTGGCATATTTTCACTGGTTTGTGTTTGCTTTAGTTCATCGCTTCTCCTATAGCTCATTCTGCTGGGATGCTTATCTTTGCCTCATTCCCGTCTGCTGTTGCACATTGCACGCTGCTTGCTGCTTCCTGCTGTCTGCACCTTGTGCCAGGCAGTGTCCCCAGGCTGTTATTTCAGTTGCAGTTGCTCCCACTCCTGCTCCCATCTCTGCACTTTTCTGTCTTTGATTGCTAACTCCTGGCGCTTCCCGACTCTCCTCCCGCGCGTTCCTTTCCCTTTAAGTAAGCGCCTCAATTATAGACTCAGACAGAGAGGCTGACTGACAGACAGTCGAGTAATGCGAGCCACGCAACTGAACTGATGAAAGAGGCAAGCATTTTTCTGCTATTTCAGGCGTGGCAAAGAAAAAAGCTCACAGAAAATGCGAGTAGGGAAAGGGGCAACGGCTGAGACTGGGGCAGAGGCAGAGCTTATAAATAGGGGTATAAGTACCCCGAAGCGAACTTCTCGCTCTGTATGCTCTGCAATTGAGCTTTGGGTAAATAGTTTGCTTGGTTGCAGTTGGCATTTGATTGGTAATCATGGCCCCAAAGCCACCGCAGGGCATCACAGTCGGAGCATGCGGAATGCGGTTCCCCTTGGGCATATATTTCTTCATTTAAAAATATAAAAAAAAGTACCCCTTGAATTGTACTTAATTTAAATGTAAGTTACGAGCATTTTAAAATTGTTTTCATCTTTCAAATTTCGGTTCCATTTAATGAAACTTTATGGCAACTTGGCCAATCAATTTGTTGCCTTTGGGGGTCCATTGACACCGAATGCAAAACCTCCGTCTGGCTGGCCATTTTCATACATCAATTCCTGCTGTTTTTGTGGTTTTGGCATTTTCAATTTACAAAATAACATTTTCAGTGTCAGCAGAAAGTTGTTTGGCATTTTGCAAAAATTATTAGCCAAAATAATGAGACTCCACACCCCACAGCCCAGAAAATTTGCTCACCCTAAGGCAGGCATGTCCCCGTATTGGGTTTTGCTTCCCCTACTTGTGCACAAACCCCAGCAATGACCTAATAAATCCGTTTTATGTCTTGGCCCTGGCGCCGCCTTCTCGGCCGGAAATGCCAGCGGCGTCTGTTCGTGGTTATCCCTCGGATGTCAGCTCCCACCTCCTTCCTGCTCCTCCTTCGACTTCGACTTCGCTATCGACTTCGACTTCGACTGCCATTTGAATTCATATTCAAATTCAAATTGTAGGCGTGGTCCGCCATTTATTGTCTGGGCCATTAGCTGCACTAATGATCCATTCAGCAGGGGGCGAAAGAAAAGAAGCGCTCTAAAGGGGGCAACAAAAAAAAAAGAGGAATAAAAGGAAGGAAGCCCCGAAGGCGGCGGCCATATTCAAATACGAGTGCAGGACGACCCAGACATTTCCCCATACACAAACAAGCAAATACCAATAGACGGAGAATCGAGACAGACAGACACATCGGGCATTGTCAATATGCTTAATGGATTTTCAAATATTGAAACAACCTCTCGAGCACCCAAGAAGATGGCATGGGCATGGCATAGCGGTTTTCCACTGTCAGTTCTGTCCTGCTGCTGCTAGTTCTGCCATAAGCTATGGACTAGGGTTGGGCCATGTTTGTCCTGAATGCATTTGCAAGGTTTACGCATTCGCCAAACACACACAGACACACACACCCGAATAAATCAAATGTTATTAGTGGCGAGTGGGTCAGTAGTTGGTGCCGCACTAATGGAATTACAAATTGGATTGGGAATATTCTTCTGTTTGCGCATGCAGAGCCGATAATTGATAATTGATAACTGGGTCAGCAGCACCAGCAGCACCAGCACAGATTGGGACTTGCCAGGGAATTATAAAAAAGCATAGAGGGAGGGAGTGCGAGTGGAATCCTTTGGTTTTTGTTCCCTAATCTCTTCTGCTCAATTTTAAAATGCATTCTGCCTTGAGGCCGGGACGCGTGGGAATATGCATTTTATTTTATTTCAATTTAAACTTTTAATGAGTTTTCCCATTGTGAACCCCTAAGCCACACCACGCACACACACACACGCCCCTATGGAAAGGGCTGCCAACTTGCTGCGGATTTCGTTGGGAGTTTATTTATTTTCAGATTCAGTTTGTCTTTTCTGTGCATATTTTTTGGCGGGCTGCGCAGATTTGTACAACAATTTTAAATTAATTTGAATATAAATTCAATTTAAATGCGGCTTTGCTGTTGTTATTTTTGCCGTTTGTGTTGGCTACAACTAATTGCCACTGCAGCTGCAAATCACTGGAAAATGTTCATACACGAAAGGAACGATTCACAAATTGCATATTAAATATTTTTTGGCAATTTAGTTGGAAACAATTTCAATTTAATTGCCGAATTCATAGCAGCATAAATTCCACAAAGCCCCCAGGCTAATCTGCATGGAATTATTGAAGGGAATAAAAGCCAAAAAAAAATGGATAATAAATTGCGTCACAACGTGGGAGATGCTCTCCTTTATCGGTTCCGCTGTCAGTCAGTCAATCTCGGGCACATTGTGCACCCATCAACATATATTGGAATGAAAAGAAGGGAATAACTCCATGCCTGAGGCGACTTTTTTGCCTGACATTAATGAGCAAATGTGAAAAGTTGTCTGCTTGCACCGAAAAGAAATATCCCTGATTGCCATTGTTGCGTTCACCCAAAGCCCACGCAGCCCACAGAGCCACAGCCCTGCAGCCCTACAGCCTACACATTGTTGGTCAGTGCTCCTTTTGTGCAATTGTTCCTGTTACAGGACACCCGCCAGTGTCCCGCCAGAACGGACATGAAAAGGAGAAATGGCAGTGAGTGGCGTAAAAAAATGAAAGAACTTAAATGGCAATTAATGACTTTCACAGAACATATTCAATTGAATTGATTATAATTATTTATATTTTATAAATTCAGCAAAAGGATTAATTGTGCCTGCTGTCCCCCCTTTATATGCGAGTGTACAAATAAACATAAATATAATTATGTGGACAAATTATTTGTGTCCGTTGCTATTTATCGCCAATGCCCAGTAATTAATCACCCAATGAATTTGGGTAATTTTAATTTACTGATATCCGCCCCTGTGGCAGCGGCAAACGTTAAACAGTTCAATGAGCACACCAAGCACATAAAACTAATGCCTCTCTGTCTCTCTGTCTCTATGTGTCTGTGCACCGTTAATTAAGATTTAATGCTCTGCGAGTACTCGAGAGTGCGGCCCCCAAAATTCGATCGGTACTCCCCGTTATCCTTTAGCCCTTTACCATTTATATTTGCCATTTTGTGTACGTAATTAAGCGACAATAAGCATTTAATACACATTTTGCGCACTGCACACACACACACTCCCAGGGCGTTGCAATTAGCTGAGCCTTCGTCGTGCATGTTTACGCTCGCCTTTAATGCCACGCCCATTAAGTACATACTCCGCCCAATTGAACACACACACACACACTCAGAGAGGGAGAAACAGAAACAACAAATTGTTGGCTAATTTGAGAGGAACCAAAACGCCGCCACCGCCTCCGTTGACATGACAATATGGTTGTTATATGTATATATGTACATATGTATGTACATGTACTTTACTACATATACATATATATCTACATTAATGTATCCTGATATGGGTATTGGTTTGTACGTACATATGTTCATATATATTCCTGCAATTAAAAATTATCTGCGAGTCGGCATCGGACATAAAATACACTGTAAATTTGCTTTGGCATTAACCCAAAAATGAAATTCGAAAGAATGGATAGAAGTGAATATGGAAATAACTGTTTACTTTTACGGCTATTCTTCGTGGGAGGTGGGAGCGTAACTCATATTAGCTTACAAGCTGAAGCGATAGAGAGCCGCGTGGATCGTGAGAGCGCGTCAGAGAACGCAACAGTGCGCCGGCAGCGAACGCTAACAGTGCGCTGCAAACGGAAACGAAGTGCTGTTAAGCTGCGGTGTTAACAGCGCTCGTCCCCTGTTACAGCTGCTGCGCTGTACTGAACAGCTTCAAAGATGGCAAATTATAATTTGTGAATATTTCTAACACACATAAATAATTTTACTATGGAAATACATAATTGTAGCAGTTTAAATTGGTAAAAGCCGAATAGATGTCAAGAGCTGATACAATGTAAAACTTCCCTTGTGAAAATGTTTACTCTCTTCGAATGTTTCATCACAATTCCCACCATAAACTTAATGTCTTACAGTGTAATAAATTTAGCGCACATAATTTGTGTGACTGCTCTGAACTTAAGAGCAGAAGTACGAGTAGGAGTAGGCGACTTGCATCAGATTAGTAATTATGTAGCAAGCCCCCTGCCACCCACAGACACCCAACCACACTCTCGTGTAGACTGGAACACATAGATACTCTTAACGAATCCCCATAAATCCGCGCATAAATACAAATTACACACACACAGACACAGACACAGAGGCACACACTGGCAGTAATATCAATTTACTTTCGGGGTTGGGGGAAGGGGCAAGTCGGAAAGGGAGCAGCGGATGTGAAAGGTTAAATAAAATCCCATGCATAATGAAACTGTTTTCAGATGTGTCCTCTGGCTGTCGATGCCCCCTGGGGCCATTACTTATGTTTTATGACATGCGGCTTTGGGTTTTTATATCTCTTGGCATTTGCACCCAGCCAAGGTGGATAAGTCTTAACACTAATTAGTTACTAAGTAATGAACTAAACTAAATCACACCTCTCATACCTTGCTCTCTCTCTATTTCTAATCATTGCAGACAATCATCCGCGAAATGAATCGACTGGGCATGATGGTCGACCTGTCGCACGTCTCCAAGGGCACAATGCGTGACGCCCTCGAGGTGAGTGAGGCTCCTGTGATATTCTCACACTCCTCCGCCTACGAGCTGTGCAACACGAGCCGCAACGTGCAGGACGACATCCTGCAGTCGCTCGCCAAGAACGGTGGCCTCGTGATGGTCAATTTCTATTCGAAATTTCTATCCTGCAGCGACAACTCGACCGTGCACGATGCAGTCGGTAAGTTATCGGAAATACTTTCAGCCTTCTGTCCTCCATCCTCCTCCATCCCCTTCTGTTGCATGAGTTATCGGTGGGAAATCAATCAAAGCCAGTGTCCCAGTGTCTTCATCGCGCAGTGTCTGCCATTGTCTTCTGGGTCTTCTGATTGTCAGTCTATTGTTTCAGCCAGTTCATTATGGCCTTCTGTTTCTTATGTGCTCGTTCTATTCTGATTTTTGTGCCATTGCTTTTGACGGGCAATCAAAATGGGTTCCCCATAATCACTTCCTGTTCCGTTGTCTGGCTACCTCCATTCTTTGTGTACTTTTCGTGTGCCCTTTCGGAGAGGGTATTTTAGTTGCTTTGAGAGCTGAGAGCTTTGCACAGCTTAAAACCACAGCCGTTGCTTGGGCATGGCACTGAGCTCATTCCTGCTACAATGTCCTCGTACTCTATAGTCTCTGATCCTCTCAGGGTATCTACTTCTGCAACCACTGCGAACCACTTCTCATCTCTCTTTTCGTTTCTCTCTTGCTTTTTGCATAAGTAGCATTATAATAAACCTGTCTAATGTTTCACCCTCCATCTCTCTCTCTCTGTTTTCTTCTCTTCTCCTTATCTTTATCTTTTCATGTCATTGGCTCTTTGTTTTTTGGCTTGCCCCGTGGACACATTTCAAATTCGCGAACATTTTAATAACGCTGACTTATGATGACACACCAACAACAATGATGCTACTCTGATGCTCTGTGCACAATGGACCCCTTAATGAACTTAACAACGAATGGCAACTGGCCCTGTACATCCATCTGATATCCTGCTTCTACTGGACTCAACTGGACTTTGGCACACAGCGCATATTAATCACATTAAGCGCATCGCCGGCATCGATCACGTTGGCCTCGGCGCCGGCTACGACGGCATTAATTAGTAAGTAAAAGTCATTTATTTCACTTAAATTCACATTTTCCCCCCATCCACCTCGCTCCTTCATATGCATGAACTGTGTGTGCGTGTGTGTGTGTGTGTGTGTGTGGCCCAGCAGGTGCTTCCATGTGCTTCCATCGGTTTCGTCTTTTGCTCTTTTTATATTCTCTTGCTTTTTTTTGTGTATTTTTAAGTTATTAATTGATTATATTTAAGTCCTCGGACTTAACATTGGCATATTGCCAGAGTGTGTCGGCAAAGGGGGGGAATCTGATGGGTTGAGCTGGGAGTTGGGAGATGGATGTGGATGTGGATGTGGATAGACCCGTTATTATTTTACCGCTCATTATGGGCACTTTTCCTTTTTTGTTCGCTTTTGCGCGTTTGTCCGCCGAGAGGTCGGCCCACAGCCTGTGTGTGCAATCTGTTTGCGAGTTTTAAGATAATTTAATGAGCTCCCACCGGATAATGAGTGGCAGGGCGATGCAAGATTACCAGTACACAGATTGAGCCTATGGACAAACCATAAACCGCTTAAAACCGTTGAGCTCCAGCACACAAAAGAATCCCCTCTCCTCCGCGGTAATGCCAAAATGTAAGCCGCGAAATACTTACACGATGAGTTCATTAAAAGTCTGCCGCTTAATTGGCAGTGGAATCAGAAGTACGGAAATATTTGTTAATTCATTTGAGCTGAGAAAAGAGAGTTTACATTTAGGTCCCAATGTTGCCTAATATTTGTACCCAACAAAATACAAATAACTTTAATGTCCTTTACATGCACATAAAACTATGCATGGGTCCACCATGTGACCCAGTTTCTGGTTCAGGTGTTTCCACCATCAACACATCGGGCACATCAGCCACATCATTCCTCTTCATTATCATTGTAATTATTCTCGTGATGCTGCGAAAGCGCATTTGCATAGTTTTCCATTTCATTGCATTTTAGGACACAATGCTCAAAAACAAACAAAATATTCTGGCACCCAAAATTTTGATAAACCTGCCAACCGGACAGGACACCGTTCCTCCGCTCCCTCGTTCTCTCTGAATTACATATTACGAGTATATGTTGGCATACAGTGCGTGCTGTAAGTAAGCATACAGCACACAGCACACAGCATTTGTTGTGCCACATTTTGGGGCAGCAGCAGCAGCAGGAGGAGGAGGAAACTCTACACCAAAACAACAACTGGCAAATGGAAGGGGAAGGGAAAGGGAATTGCAGGGGAAGCCAACAAATATTTCGTGTAAATCAATTTCCACTGAAATGAACTTCATTTTGCTTTGTGTTTTTGGGTTCAACGCGACCTCAAAAATTGGATAGAAAAAAAAGAAGAAAAACTGAAAATTGCGTAAATGAATATTTATGAGGCAATTGCCGAGAGACTCCCCAGGCGCCCCCCGGCCCAAAAAGAGGGAACCACAATAAATAATCTAAAATTCTATGAAATTACTAAATATCAAATGGTCCTGTTTCCGGTTCGTGTCAAACCACAGACAGAGGGAGGGAGGCGCAGGGGGAGAGAGAGGGAGCGCTATCCTGGGGGGAATATCCATATGAATATTCCACTTAAAGCTTCATTGGGTGTCGCTCGCTGTCTGACACCTGTCCCAACTTTTGTCTCCCCTCGTTTCGTTTATTTAATTAAATTGCCATTACTTTTATTGATTATTGTGTATAAATATTGTGAATTGAATTTTAAGTTTTCTGCACGCAAAAGCCACAAATGAGTGCCATTAATTTGGCAGCAGCAAGCACAACTAGGCAAAAACAATTCGCAAACCAAAATACACAATCGAATTGAGAGAGAGCGACTTTCAAAATGGCCAAAAAGCCAAAAGCCAAGAGGAAATAGGACATAAATTGTTTTGTGTTTTGTGTTTTGCTGCCGTTGTTATGGTTTATTTTTGAAGAATGCTTCAAAAATTTTATACACAAAAAACACAGGGTGATGCGGAAAGTCCAGGAATAAGCTTTGGTCTTGGCATAAAATCAATATAAAATGCAGCACCCTCTGTGGGAGTATTTCCTGTGGCTCCTTCACACAACGGAATGCTGCTGCTGTCCGTGTCATTTAAATCGTGTTTGGCCTAAACGCCTGCATATAAAAGTAAATTATTATTTATTTGTATAAATGCCTGTTCATAAAATATGATTACCGGAGCACTTGAGTGTCCGGCCATGCACAATATAATATTTATTATTTATTTTCCCCTGTGGGTTTTTGTGTTTTGTCGTTCATTATTTACTTGCTGTGTGTGTGTGTGTGTGTGTGACTTTACTTGACTTGAATGCCGCTTTATTGCCCATAGAAAGTGCCTGTACATGAGCCACATTCATGCACTCACACATATTTGAATCTCGTTTTGTTTTGCCTTTTGGCTTGTTTATTCAATTTATTCCTTATGTCATAGATATATTTTATGGTTTAACGAGTATTGAATTAAATTGTGCAGAAAGTTTTTTGAAATATGTGTGTGTGTGTGTGTGTGTGTGTGTGACTGCACCCGTACTCGGACTAATTGATCTTTTATCTGGGTTTAGCACACCCAAAGGCCTGGAGGATGTCTCCTCGTACCCGACACTCTTTGCGGAGCTCCTGGGCGGCGGCTGGACGATGGACGAGTTGACAAAGTTGGCGGGCGGCAACTTTCTGCGTGTCATGCAGCAGGTGGAGAAGCTGAGGGATGACAAAAAGACTGCCGGAGTCAAGCCGTACGAGGATCACCCGAACTTCCGCACCGATGATCCGTACAACTGCACCTCCAGCTAATCGAACAGCGGCCCCAGGCAATCAGAGGTTGTGCCACAGATCCCGGCAACGAATGAGTAAAGTTTTCTATGTGTATAGAGAACTCCCACAAACTAATCACAGTCTAGCCATAAGTTGAGATTTGTATAAGCTTTAAATACATAGCAAATAATTATAGAAACCATTTACATGGCAGAAGAAATAATTTCCTCTTTCCCTTTTACCACGAAACGAATTTCTTTTGATTTTGGTGACAATCTACAGACTGCCAACAAAAACCTAAATAAAATATAATACGAGTTTAAGCTACACACAAAGAAGCCCCGCAAACATTTTTTTCCACCGTACATTTGAGTTATTTTCTACCCAAAAATAGTTCGCCAGAATTTTGTTTCGAAAACTCCAAACTGGACCAACAACAAATCAGTTCTCTCATTTCTCATTTAGTCCCCTTTTTCCCCCTGCAGGATATTTCCATTATTCAAATAATTTACACGAAAACCTACATATCAAAGTATGTAATAAAAGTAATCGAATAAACACAAAACAGAATTAAATGGTAATTATATTTAGAGTAAATGATTTTTTGCATTCAAAATTCAAATGCAAATATTTGCTAGTGGGAAAGCATACACTTAAACACGGAATAAAACGAATAAAATATTGTATTCAAAATATGAAAAAAGAGAGAAATTTAAATACTTTAGTCCCGCAGCCTCGGGCGCGGGACATAAATTAAATATTTAGTTACAATTTTTAAGCAGCTTGCAGAAGCTCGCAGCTGCACGAATGAATAGCGTAATAAATACTAAATTAGTGTGTAAGTGTGTGTGTGTGTGGGCGGGGGCCCCCCCCCCCCCCACAAAAAACAAAAAATTTTAAAAAAAAAAAAAAAAAATATAAAAAAAAAAAACCCCCCAATTTTTTTTTTTCCCCCCCCCCCCCCCCCCCAACAACAACAAACTAATAGAACACAAATCGCTCTGTCTGTCAGTCTGTCAGTCAGTCAGTCTCTCGTCTCTCTGTACCTTCTAAAGCAAAAACCACATGAATGGAAGAACTCTAGTAAAATGTGCTCCTAGCCTAAGTAAACAAATTATACAATACCAATGCATTTTTCTAAACCCAACCCGAATAACAAAAAAAAAACTCTAATGCAAATCTATATATTAAATATATACACACAAAGTAAAAGTCTATTGTTACGTTTTTTGTACGTTTTTTGTATGTGTAAATAGAATTTTTACCTATGCCTCTCATTTGTACGGTCATTATATAGTTTTCTAGCAAATAACTTAAGCTAAAATATCGCATTGGATCACTGGATTCTGATGCGGACAGTTGTTAGTTCATAGATCGAGCGAGTCGAGCGCCTGCAAGGCGTGGCCGTCACATAAATATATCTGTAAAGTTTATACATATATGGAATATGCCTAGTTATAGAAATTCAACCGAACTAAAGTACACACACACACACACGTACACACGCATATATAATACAGAATCTCAATTCTCCACTCTCAATTCCTAAACGAATATTCCACTTTTTGCGTTGACTTTTTCGTTCTCTTAACTCTGAAATACACACCCAGACACAGCATATGTAAAAGTAAAACCAAATTGTAGTTAAAAACTTGAAAAATGGTAAAATGTTTAGCAAATAAAACGAAAAAGGGCAACTGAAATGCAGTAATATAAAACAATTAAAGACAACATGATTCCCGTTTGTTTCCATTTACATTTTTAAACGAGAGCACTAGAGCACTAGAATATATATCGCGTGAGCCGAAGTAGCACGAAGTCGATAGCAATCAGCTGACAGCTTATGGGAGTAAATATACGCTTTGGTGTATTTTGACATCGAAATTTACATGAAGTGAATAAGGTCAGCTTTTTCAAACTTTACAGTGGTAGTTTAGAAACTCACAAATTTAAGGAACTATTTGGAATTATCTATTAAAATGATCCAATCCCATAGCAATTTACCTAAGTTTCGCAGGGGTTTGGGGGACGTATATGCTTGGGATATGTTTGAAATCACAGTCTAAAATAAGTCTTCTCAGCGAGAAGCCAAACTGGTTGAGAATGGTTTTATCACTCGGTTAAAATTATAGTGTTAGTGCTGAGAGGCCTAACTAGCTGGTAATATTAGTTAGAATATCAAAATCGAGGAATATGATTTTAAGTCTACGGTATATTTTTAAACTGGGTCGGTATATTTCGGTATATTCGGCATTCAAACCGCGGTCACACTGTCGCCCATATGGGAAACGAAAATTAACAATTGTATCAAAACTCCAAAAAAGTTCCAGCAGACTAAACGACAGTCAAAACTCATTTTAACCATAGAATGCGTTCGCCTAAAGAGTATCAACTGGTTGCATTTTGTGACAGTGCTAAAATTGCGTACAGATTCCCATAGTCAGCATAAATATTAATAGAAACAGCCAGTGCATGTGTGGGGTGTCCTTGCGGATCGAACTCCACCGCCACATCGTATGGCCACAGAGAGGAGAGCGGGCGCCGAGCTGCTGGGCCTGCAACCGCCACCACGAGATGATGGGAACAAGGAGCTGTTCCCGGCGCCGCCAGACACTGTCCAGCGCCGTGGGGCAGGCGAACTAAGCTACAACGAGTTCTACTGGCAATACATGCACCACAATTGGCCCGTCATCATCACGGATGTGTCCTCCAACTGGCAGTGCCAGCAGTGGACCAGCAGCAACGGGGACGACAATGCCAATGCAAATGACACGACGAACACTGCTCACATCAATTTTGACTACCTCAGGGGACGCATTGGCAACTGTCCAGTGCCGGTGGCCGACTGCAATGCCACCTACTTCAACAGCCATGCCAAAGTGGAGCTGAATTTTCACGATTACCTGAGCCGCTGGCAGGGCCGCATCGAGAGTGCGGGCGAGGCGGAGGTGAACAGCAATGTGGCAAGGAAGACGAATGATAATCTCTACCTCAAGGACTGGCATCTGGCTGCCCAAATGCCCAGCTATGATTTCTACAAGGTGCCTAAGTACTTTGCCTCCGACTGGCTGAACGAACAGTTGATGGAACAGAAGCGAGACGATTATCGATTCGTTTACATGGGACCCAGGGACTCGTGGTAGCTATAAATGCAACTCCAATTCTGTGTATATCCCAGTTGGTTAACCATTTCCCATTCGCTTTTAGGACCTCCTATCATTCGGATGTCTTTGGTTCGTTCAGTTGGTCCACGAATATTGTGGGCCACAAGAAGTGGCTGATTATGCCGCCCGGCGAGGAGCTCAAGCTAAGCGACCGCCTTGGAAATCTGCCATTCAGCATCAACGAGCAGTTGCTGGATGAGCACAAAGTGCACTACTTCACCATCAATCAGAAGGCCAATGAGGCGGTCTTTGTGCCCAGCGGCTGGTACCACCAGGTGTGGAACCTCACCGACACCATATCGATCAATCACAACTGGTTCAATGCCTGCAACGTGCCTCTGGTCTGGCGCAATCTGCTCAACAACCTGAAGGCCGTACGCAGGGAGATCTCCGATTGCCAGCAAATGGATAACTTTGAGGCCCACTGCCAGACCATGCTGCGGGCCAGCTTCGGCATCAACTACCTCGATTTTATAGAACTTTTAGAGTTCATATCCGCACGTCGATTGGCCGCACTCGCAGATAGTTCAACGACCACCAAATTTTTACTTTTTGATACCTATAAAATGTGCGATTTCCATGTGAAATGCGATCTCGAGTGCTTGCGCAAGCTGCTGACTCTGATGCTGCAGGATGCCAGCGTACAGCAGAGTCCTGCTCAATTGTTGGAACGCTGCCAGCGTTTGCTCAGCCAAATCCTCGTCTAGTCGTATAAAGCCTTGGCAGGGCGTATTTTTTTATACCAAAGTTGTATGCGTATACAAAAGATAGTCGTAAATATTTTATTATCCATGTATACATAGGTGTAATATTTTATTATAAATCCTTGTAAGTGTAGCTACTCGCCCTCGGACCATGTCAACTCTCCATTTGTGGGCATCGTTCTCAGCCAGTAGCATTGGTCGATGATGCGAAAGCCCAGTTTGCTGAACATACCAGCGGATGGCTTATTGGACGGACCTACTAGGGCCATCACGTCGTGTCCTTGGGTGCCCAAGCGATGTGAAATCTCCCTGGTTACGAGGGTACCAAAGCCACGTCGCTCGTGGCCACTTTTCACCTGCAGGGCGCCCAAGTAGCCGCCTTGTAATCTGTGGGTTAAAAGTGATCGTCAGGTGGGACTTGGAAGTATAATTATTCCTACCTAATGCACCAAGCTACCAATTCCTTGGAATCCTCTGCGTAAAGACCAGCGTTCACACACATTCGAATTTGTCGCTGGATAAAGTAGAGAGAACCCAAGTGATGGTTGGGCCACTCCTCATTGATCAGCGGAGCATCTGTTACACTCAGTGATTTCAAAATGAAACCAGCTGACGGCCTAAAGCAATACATTATCCAAATTGAACTTTTACGATGTTTAGGCAATGACTTACTCAACCTTCAGCTTAAGGGCATCCTCTGCCTTCATGTAGAACAAATTTGTGGGATCCCGAAACTCCAACTCCAACTGTTTGGACTGCACTACATTGTCCACCGCTTGAATGTGCCTCGAGGGTATGGAACTGCACTTGAAGCCAGCAGACCAATCCAGTAATTCCAGCGCCTGCTGCAGCAGTCCATTTGTGTTGTTTAAACTTCCCACGAAAAGCTGATAGCGATCCTAAAGAGCGCTGCTTAGAAATGTAATTGATTTATGATAAAATCTCACGACAAACCACAATCACAAAGAGCGCATCGGCTCTGGCCTGCTCTCCCGCCAAGGTGAATAGTTTTAAATTCTTGATTTGTGGATCCGCCTTTAGAAATTCTATAAAATTATCGAGACAGTAGTATTCCGGGCAGTATTTAGGCCAGTTTTGTGTGTAGAGCTTTTGATATTCCTCCAGTTCTGACAATCCAATAACTTTCAGTTTGACACACATTTCGGTGCAGCGCACAAGCAGCAACCTCTCTCAACAAATAACGAAGCGAAACTGAGTAGAAATAGTTTCGATAATGGGGCTTGCCTCTTGGCCAGGGCTCTCTTAGATTAATCGTTCTCTCTGTCAATCGGCGCGCTCTTAAGTCAATCGTTTGGTTAGAAACTCTGTTTAATCTTGTAATACTTTAATTGCAATTCTTATCAAAATATTCATCACTCTCCATCTGGCCAAGTGAAGTCTCCCTGGGCAGGTACTGTAATCAGCCAACTGCACTGATCGATGACCTTGAAGCCCAGTTTCTGAAACAGGCCTGAGGAAGCCTTGTTGCTAGGACAAACTTCCGCTGTAACATCATAGCCCAGCAGTGCAACGCGTCGGGAATATTCTTTGACCACCACAGCCCCAAAGCCGCGACGTTGGTGAGAGTTCTTGACCTGCAGGGCAGCCAGAAATCCGTCTTGTGATCTGTAATAGAATGGCATCTGAATACCAATCGTTTGTAGATCGTTTTGGGTGCATTTACCTTATGCACCAGGCCACCAGCTCTTGGTTATCCTCCCGGTAGAGTCCCACGCAGGTGCTCGTGGCTATCTGGCGTTCAATAAAGAACAACGTACCCGAATGACTCCACTCCCAGGCGGTGTCCACTAAGTGAGCGTCCTGCTGGGAGAGTGCCTCCAAGTAGAAGCCAGAGGGCACGCTGAAAAAAGATCAAAGCTAAATTCTGTGGTGTGGCCAAGCCCGCTAGTCAGTTGCTCACTCCACGTTCAGCTCCAGAGCCGCTTTCCTTGGCAGAAAGTACAAATTATTTTCCATCTCGAACTTAAGTGGCAGCCGCTTGGCCTGCACAACCCTGCCAACAACTGCCGCATATCTGTTGCGAATGGTGGAGCATTGTATGCCGCCCCACCAGTCCAGCTGGTGCAGGGCCTGCTCCAATATGTCGTTAGAGTTCTCCGTATCCAAACAGCCGACGAACATCTGATAACGATCCTGGCAAGAGTTAACACTTCACATGAGCAAAATGAGCAATGCGCCGACACAATCGGAAGGTTTACCACAATCACAAACAGTCCAAGCTCTTGATGCGGCAGGGTGTAAGCTTCCACATGCTTGAGGTGCGACCGAGTCGTATAGAGGCCAAAGAAATTGTCCAGACATTGGAGCTCCGTGCAGTACTTGGGCTGGTCGCACGAGTACAGTTTCAGCAGATGCTCCAGGTCCTGGCTGCCCACTTTCTGGAGGAACACCATTCTCGCAACTATCCGCCAAATGTGGAACCCTTTGGACTTTATATACAGAAAGTTATCTAACCTTTTGGATAGAGACCCGGAGACAAGTACCATTTTATGGATGTTTGGCCTACGTCTGCGTCTTTATCAGCTTTATCAGGTTTATCAGATCCCTTTATCTGCTATCAGTGTTTATTCATTGTTGGGCCAGTCTATCTGGCCGCCCGCTTTGGGTAGGCTCATGCTCCAGTAGTAGTGCTCGCCCTGCACCAACGTAAACTGCAGTTTCTGGAACAGGCGGCAGGCAGCCTCGTTGCTTAAATTTACTAGAGCCGTCACATCCTGCTGCAGGTCCCTGGCTATGGCTTGGGAAATGGCAGCGGCTACAACCACGCCCAGGCCGCGACGTTGGTGGGATTTACGTACCTCCAGGGCGCCCAGGAAGCCACTCTGCAGTCTTTTTTAAAGGGAGAATAAATTAGCTGATGATTCAGGGTACCAAGCGACTTGCAATTCCCACCTCAAACACCAGGCACACAGCAATCCAGTTTCCTTTTCATACAGTCCCATATTTGTATTATTTGCAATCAGCAGTTGAATGAGATACAGGCTGCCTGGATGACGGGCAGACCACAGATCATTGATGAGCTCCGCATGCTCCAGCCGCACTTTTTCCAAGTAGTAGCCAGGGGGACACTCGATGTCCAGTTGCGTGGCCGCCTGCCAGGGCAGACGGAACATAATTGTGTTCATCTCTCGATCGATTCCTAGCTGAAGCTCTGCCAGCAGCTGCCTGTACACCAGATGATGCTCCTCGTGTATCGCGCTCACTTTGTAGCCGCCAGACCAGTCCAGCAGCCTCAGCGCCAGTTCCAGCTGTGGCCCGCGTCTGCTCAGGTTACAAAAGAACAGTTGGTAGCGATGCTGAAAGATGTCCAAAGAACGGGATTAAACAAACGGAAGGGATTTCCTTTAACTATTTCTTACCACGAGTAGAAACAACCCGTCGCTCTGCCAGTCAGTGTCCAGCGTGTAGAAGGCCAGGTGCCTGATTTGTGGATCTTCTTTCAGCCACCTCAAATAGTTGTCCAGCCAGAAGTAGCCCACGCAGTGCCTCGGCCAGTCTCTCAGATATAGCCGCTGGAGTTCCCTCAAGTCATCGCTATCCGTAATCTCTGTCAGTTGATGTTCCGTTGCCATGTTGCTTTTAATATTATCTTTTTTCCATTGCAAAGCTGCTTGTGGTTTTCCATTGTTTTTGTTGGTTTCAAGTTTTTTTGCTTCCACTTTTTGCACAGCTGTTTCTTGCGAAACCTAACCCATGTAACCCCCTCTATAAAAACAAGCGAACTCCTTGATTTAAACCGCGGAAAATAATACTGTTTGTGAATTCCACCTGTAGCTCCATACTTCCTCTTTACTTAAAACAACATTTTACCACGATATATTTAACCTGAAATGTGTGTGCATTTTTTTAATTTTTATAATATTCGTGCGCAAGTGTAAATACCCACTTATCGACAATGGGTTAAGAGTTCTCAGAATGTGACGTCATATGCCGGGAGAAGTCTCGTTCGACGCGTGGCATTAAAGGGTTGGTTTTCATCCAGTCAGTCACATGCAAGAGCGAGACCGATAGTGGCTGTCCCTGTCTATGTTCTTGTGTCTTTTTCTTGCCGACAAAGCAGCACACATGATGCAATTACATATGTATGTATGTATATATGTGTGTATTGTGGATGGTATCATTTTCGGCAGAGTGGAAACCATACATTACTCTCGCTTACACTGCCTGCTTTGCAGAGCAAACCGAAAGCAAGGAACAGCTCTGCCCGAAGCCAGAAGCGTATATAAGGCGCGAACAATAACTCATTCTGACCATCCCAAATATTTTTGGCGAGAGGCCTTTGGCTGTTGAAGTATTTGTTTGTCGCTTTTGGCTTCTACCACTCTGCCTCACAATATAATATCGTCTTCTGGAAGCATTTCTGATCAAATCGCTCTCAGCGGTGTGTGATCAATATCGGTAGCCCCGTTGCCTTGTCCATAACTGAAAGCTTGAAGAGCGATTAGGGCGTTCAGAGGCATTTGGGCATTCAGCTTCGCCACTACAACTGGAGAATTTTGTTTGTCTGTTGAATTTTTCCTTGATCTGTTTAATATATCTTCAGATATACTCTTCATCCTCCTCATCTTTTCATTTACTTGTCAAAGTTGGCTCTTCAATTGCCGATTGCTTAATACCACAACCGTTCTACCACACTGCCTCTTCTTTGTTTTATTAAAAACAGTTTGTTTGCAGTCTCTGCAAGTTCTTGGTGGAGGAGGAGGAGGGAGAATCTGAATTTTGATAGTCTTCTGAGCTCTATCTACTAAAGCTTAGATTCTATTGTCGCTTGCTCTGTCAACTCTACAGACAAATTTGTGTTGCCGATGTACCCACATAAATATGTAGAAAAATCGACTCAGATTTTCAATGGCAGTGATGCGTGTGGTGTCAACCTCCTCCACTGCTGATTAAATACTTCCATCTCGAATCGAAAAATAAAATATTTTTCGACAGAAAGACATTTTCTCTGAATATGATTTTTTCCAATTCTAAATTTTTTCTACATTTTTCAACTATGTAACCAACCACAAACACGGATGTTTAGCAACCAATCTTCCTCAGAGCCGCTCACTGCACAAGGCATGTGGTCGAGCGAGCGAATGGCAAAAATGATCTGATAGATATGGGCATTCTCTACGGATAATTTAACGCTTCTGGGTAGTGGTTAAACATATATCGAGTACTCGATTTTTCATTCTGACAAGGCTTGGCCGGCATGAGACTTGTGTTTTGGCTCAATACGCCATCTGGTGCCAGCGAAACCAACAGATGGCGCCAGTGTGTAGGTTCCGAGCTCGACTAAGTAGGGCAAATTATGAATTTATCGGCCGTTTGGTACAGAACAATTTTGAAAAATGAATTTAACATTCAAATTTTAAACCCTGACTCTAGTTAGCTGTGAATTCCACTTAGTTTCAAATAAATTGTCGGTAGTCGCGTTACATTTTGCCGTTCCCTCTTTCACATTATCCTCTGCTGCCGCAAACCTAGAATTTAAAATCGAATTTTAACCCACAAACCATTCATCAAATATCAGAATTTTAGTAAATTTTAAAAACTTGTAACTTTTTATTTCAAACAGTTTGCTGCGCTTGTTTGTTGAACTATTTTCCTGTTTTTCATACATTTCTATCGTGTCCGTTTTGTATTTTATATACACACAACAAATACCAATGCTTAAGACATATCTAATCGTAGATTAAACATATACTAGATATATATATATATATAGATAGATATATGGGTTTGCCAATTTGTATGTTTTGTACAATTACATTTACACATAAAGAACATTAAGATATTAGGATTAAGATATTTACAGCTAGACTTTAAAGACAAAAATGGTTTTAGATATAGTTTAGGGATCATCTTTCGTTTCATTACGTTCTCCGTTCCGTTCCGTTCCGTTCCGTTCCGTTTGTGTGTAGTTTCTTCGATTATATAGTAGGAAAAATATGTTGAAATTCTTGTTGGATAGTTCTTGTTGGTGGCTGGCCATTAGGGATGCTGCGGCTCCTCTTTGACGGTGACAGCAGCACCAGCATCGGGAGCATTAGCTGATGGCGTAGTGGGAAATAGCTTGGATGCCAGCGTCTCGAGGCTGGGCTTGGAGTCTTCCTCCTCTGCTGTTGCCTCTGGGCTAGTGGTTCTCGCTGTTGCCTCATTGCTGTCTTCGCCGACTTTGATGCGCTCCGCCTGCAGGCGCCGCAGCTCTTGGGCCAGGGCCTCCGATGTGTCCGACTGCGTGGGCGTGTGCCGCGAGGATGTGGGCGTATGCGAGGAGGAGCACGAGCTGGAGGCCGAGCTGCGGGGCGTGGTCACTGACTGATGGTGATTCTGCTGCTGCTGGTGGTGATGTTGCTGCTGCTGCTGCTGCTGCTGTTGCTGCTGCTGCTGGGTGACCTTGCCCATGAAGGTGCGAATCTCCTCAAAGTAGGACTCCTCGCTGGGATTCTCGCAGAAGCGTCGAATGCAGTGCATCCGCTCGCTCACACCACTCAAGGCACTCAGCGACACCGCGTCCGACTCGTGCTTCTTCAGGTGGCGATCGAGGTTCGTCTGCTGGCCGAAGCAGCGCTCGCAGATCTCGCACTTGAAGGGCCGCTCCTTGTTGTGGATGTTGCGCACGTGGCGCTGCAGGTTCGAGGAGATGCTGAAGGAACGTTCGCAGTATTTGCACTTGTACGGCTGCTCGCCCGTGTGGGTGCGCAGGTGGCGCGTGAGGTTCGCGGAGCGGGGGAACACCTTGCCGCAGAACTTGCACGTGTACCGATCCTTGTTGCGCTGCGGCGGCGTGGCGGCTCCCGGCCCGGCAGCACCCGTGGCCGCCGGAGCTCGTGCCTTGCTCTTTCGCGAGTGCTGACGCGTCTGATAGTCCTGCAGCTGGGGATGTGGAGCCGCCGTCTTGCCGCCGCTGGCAGGGCCCACACCACCTACGCCTCCTCCTCCTGGCAGTTCCAGCTGCAATTGCTCCGTGGGCGGTGGCCATGTCAGCTCGCACTTCTTCAGCGGATGCCGGAAGGGAAACTCAGCGCCCGTGGGGCTCGTCGAGGCAGCCGCAGTGGTGGGAGCCTTGCCCGGCAGCACTCCCGCAAAGACATTCCTGTACTGCAGCGGCAGGGTCTTGGTCATGGCCTCCAGCAGTGTGGGATGCACCGCGGGCACCGCGCACTGCGGCGGTGCACCCAGCGGAGTGGTGGCCCCACTGCCCGCTCCCTCCCGCAGCGCACGCAGCATCTTGCGGCTCATGTCGAAGCCCAGATCCGCCAGCGAGGCGGCTATGTGATTGTTGTTCAGCTCCTTCTCCTTCTGCTGGGCGGCGGCCAGCTCGCTGGCGAACATGATTAGGTTGCTGTTCTCGTCCTCCATGGGACTGCCGGGCTCCCCCAGATCCGTTTTCCGCTTGTGCGCCAGCCGCAGATCCAGCGGCTGATCGTAGCTGCTTCTCCTCTTGGCCTTGCCCCCATGATGATGCAGTTGCTGCTGCTGCTGTTGCTGGTGGTGTTGGTGCTGGTGCTGCTGATGCCTGGCCGCCGTCGTGGTGGTTGTCGTCGTGCCAGTGCCTGCTGCGGAGGATGAGGATGAGGAGGAGGAGGATGTCGTCGAGGCGGCTGCCAGGTCGTAAGGTACGTGTGATATATACGATGTGGGTACTAATCCTAAGGCAGGGTAAACGCAGCCCTGTTTCGGGCTAGGAAGCATCTTTCTTGGTGAGTGGTCTTTCTCTCTCATAACTGTTGCTAGCTAACGTGCAACTTCAACTCTTCTGTGGCACGTTCTCAATGATGATCGGGCGCTCTCTCTTTGCTTCCAAATGTTTGAGTTTCAATTCGATTCAAATCTGCTGCTACCTTCGGGCGTTCACACAGTTGTACACAGGAATAAAATACCTGAAAGAAAGTAGAAGAAAAATGTGTTCTAGAAAAATAGATACAACATTGTCCACACTTATTATTTAAACAATTCTTTACAAGTTCTAAATGTCTAAATAGTCTGAGGTGCGTCTCAATGGCTTCAATCGCTCGATGTCTGGGCTCATGGGAATACCTATGTACGTCATAGCTTAAGCTCCTTAAACATTCCACAAGATAAAAAGTACCTTCGAGGCATAGCTAACAGTCAGCAGCAACATCTTTTGCCAACCAATCTTATGGGTTATTCTTTTCTTTGGTTCTTTTGGCGCAATGCCAAAAGCGTCTCAAGCCCAGAGAGACACACTGGCAAATGTTTAAACAATTGTTCTATTGTTTTTGTCGTTTTAGGGTGGAAAAATACTTGAAAAAGTGAAACAACAAGAATACAAGAAACGAACAACGAAAAACGGTATCTAGAGTGACGATTATGTAAGACAAACATGCCGAGTGGCAGACAAACATCTAAACACACACAGAGGGCTGGCAGTGGGTGGGCAGGGGGCAAAGCTTGGAGGTGCGTGCAGCTCCGGTAAGCGATTTACTGCGTGGGCTGCAAGAAAAACTCCAGCACTTGGCAGATGGCACGCCAGCCAGGCCAGAACAACACATCATCAGCCAGCACCACACTCATGTGAACCGAAACACACACACACAGAGACGGAGAACATCTCGAAGATATTTGCCAACTCTGTGGCCAACCAACTGCATTCAGGTGGGCGCGCGTTGATCTATGGGTCTCTGTTCTGCTATCTAGAACAGAATTTTTCATGAGACATTTTCGTGGGCTGCTGGCTGTTGGCTGTCTGCTGTCTGCCATTTGCTGCCTGCTGTCGTCGTGGTTGTTGCAGCATTTAGCGTTCGTCTGTCTGCAAACAAATTGCCTTTTGTTGCTGTTGCCAAAAAGTTAATTAGCCGCATTTGCTGCCTTTGATTTGTGGTCTCTCTTGTGTATTACGGCGTCGAAAATTATTCTTGCAGCACTTTGTAATTGGAGCTTGAGAACGCTTCAGATAGATCGCTGCCACTTACAGCACAATCAAAAGTGAGGGGGAAAGGGAAAACGCTTAGCTGTGGAAATTGTTTTTGATGTGAGAATTATTGTAAATTCTTTGCCACTTTTTGGAGAATTATTAGACATTTTTTGGAGCATCGGCTGGTGGGAAATTTGATCTACAATTGATTCACTTTCCCCCTTTCTGGCATGTTTATTTGCATAAAATCCAATACAAAATATTTAATTATTTACTTAGCTGTTAGCTGCTTGCCAAACTAATAAACTGAAATGGTGGCTCCTAATGAGACCATTAAATAAATCATCCTCATGACGAGAGTAAGAGTGAATCAGCCGTCAACCTGCAGCCGCTCCATCATATCACAAAAGAGAGTACAAATTTCACAAGCCCCGTCGCCCGATTCGTGTCCCATCCAATGGCCCCAATGTGTTTTATAATTTGTTGCAAACGTGCCAAAGCGGTTGACAATTATAGCCAGGCTCTTGGGCTGGACGCCACTGCATCATCATCAGCGGCACGATCGTCACCAGGCAGCAGCCAGCAGCCAGCCAGCAGCTATCGTCATCATCATCAACAGCAGAGGCTGCCAAACGGATGGGAAGCCGCCTGCGAAAAGAAAGAAGACCCAAACGGAGCCAAACAGAAAAAAAAAACAAGAAAGAAAAAACCAATTAAAGAGTAACAAAGTTTAAGCGGAGCGACAGATGGACTGGACGGACAACGGGAGCAATGAAGCAAACAGTTCAAGAAACGGACGCTACGGTGAAGGTACAGCAGATACAGATACAGATACAGATACAAACATCCAAAGTAACATGGACAGAGCCAAAGAGTCGTCGTCGCATGTTGCAAAGAAAAGTGAAATCAAAGTTGTAAAACCGCGAAAAACGCAGTCAGGCAGACAGACGGAAAAGCGACACATAACAGCGCAGCGGCGGTTCGCTCCAGATTGGAAAAATGTCCAGTGCCGCAGGAGAGAGGAGAGAGGAGAGAGGAGAAGACAATGTTGACAATGTTGCAGAGAGGCAGCAGTGCAACATTGGCAACTGGAACTGAAGCATAGTTATAGAGAGCAACGCGACGGCAGTGGCAAATTAACTTTTGCTGATGCACCAAAAGTCTAACCCCAGCAGCAACCCATCATTATTGATGCAGGCAACAGTTTTGGGTATCATGTTTATTATTAAATGCAGCTGCATAATTATCATCATAAGCAACGACGATAATCATCTGCCTCGGTCGCGCTTGAGCAGCAGGCAGGCAGGAGGCATAATCAAGCGCGACTAAACCACAACTAAAACTAAAGCTAATACTAAGACTTAAAGGAAAACCAAAGCAAAGCAAAGCAATGCCGGCGCGACACACAATGAAAAACGAGAGTAAAAATCACCAAAGCAAAAGCCGCTCACTGAAATGGAAAATTAAACCTCGTTACATCAGTGGCAGAAAGCAGAAAGCAAGCAGGCAGGATCCCCCCAACACACACACACACACACACACACACACACACGCATAAACACAAACACAGTTGAAGAAAAGACTCTCTAACGAGGCAATAGTCGCGACAGCAGCAGCGGCAAGCAGCAACCTGATACCAAAATCGTCACAACAAACTTCCAACACGGCAGACAGGCAAACAGCGAGCAAGAGGAGAGCAAAGAGCAAAGAAGTGAGTGAGAGTGAGAGTGAGAGTGAAAGAGATGGAGCGATAAATACGCACCGTCTAATCTCAAGCGAAATCTCAATGCGAATTCATTTGCCAAGTAGAAGACAGAGAAGAATTATTCACTTGAGTGGAGCAATGCGGAAATTTCCTGGATGGAAATGTGGGTGAGATCGCAGAAAATAAAGTAGTTCCTGGGTAGAACTTTGGGTGGGAAATTAATCAGCAAAAATATATGAAAACCAAAAGGAATGTTGTGGGTTTTATATTATATTTATTAACTTTGTAAAAATTGTATTTCATTGCTTAAAGTTCTCTTGTTAGAGTAAAATATAATAAGAAAGATCCCTTTAAAATTATCACAAATATCTTTTATATATTTTCAGAACAAGGAAGCCAAAAGGCACCGACAACCCATTTAGGCCTTGATAATCCTGCCTCACATCTTAGATAGATCCATCATTCACTTGATCAATGATCCCATTTGAAGCGGTAAAGTCTTCGCTAGCTTTCAGATTCAATCTCCTTTACTTTACTCTACCAAGATAAATCAAAAGCATAAAGGGTCAGTGACTAGCTTTAAGCTACTATCTCTATAGATGATCTACAGTTTGCGGCAGAATTCTCAGTTAAAGTACCGACTATCCTCCGTTAAATGCGCTACCCGCTAGAGCCCCAAAAGTAAATGATGGCCAGCAGGAGTAGCAGTAAAAGATGGCCAAGTTATTGGTGGAAAACCCATCAGCGAGTGCTGCTGGAGCAGCCACAGATGTTGCTGCTGGCTGGCTGGATGCGTTGATGATGATGGTGATGGGGCTGCTGCTGTTGCAGTTGCAGTTGGAGTGCAATCTGTACCACTTTTTCCTTCAGTGGACACAACAAGTGTAGCAGCAGCAGCGACAGTTGCAACAGAGAGCAAACACATCTCCAAATCACGTCTTGGAGCGTTGTGGCTGTCGTCCATCGTCGTTACATATCTGGTTGTCTAGATTGGCTGGCTGTGGCTGTGGCACTGGCCTGGCCTGGCTGTGGCTCTGGCCAGGGGACGCTCGACAAGTGAAATAAAAAGTGAGAGTGACATCGGAAATTGTTTCAATTTTCCAAACGAAACCAAGCAAACCAGCAGCTAGCCAAGAGCCAGGCAAAAGTTGCCGCAATTGCCATCGTCATCAGCAGCAGCGGCCTCGGTCGTTGGTCTGTTGAATGAATGAATGTCGAAAACTGTATCGAAAACAATTTTTCTACGTATGCCAACAGCAGCAGCAGCAGCAGCAGCAGCAGCAGCAGCCCCAAACGGCCTAGGCAGCCCCATCAGCAAGTGCTTTCCCAATGCTCCAAAAAAAATAAAGTCAAGTAAAGTAAGGATTTGAAGCCAATCCACGAGCATGTGGCTGAGAGACCAGTTGGCTGCCTCGCCGCTGGCTGACTGCATCCTGTTGTTTGTTATAGTTTGCGATGTTTTATTTCTTACTTTATCTTTATATAACTAGCACACACATGCAGGCGAACAGACGATCGTCGTCCAGCCAGCCAGTGCCCCGACACCATCCAAACGATGCAAAGATCCAACCATCCAACCATCCAAAGATCCGTCCAACCACTCCACTCCACTCTAACTAACTAAATGTCTTGCTTAAATAATTGCAATTTTTCCTTTTTTATATTGGTATTTTTCCCCCTATTTTGAGGTGCAAAAATTGGTTTAGTTTATATATTTTGCGCAATTTTATGTCCCTCCGTTTTTGTGCGCTCTCCTTCGATCATTTGTAAATGACAGCGAGGGGGCATCATGTGGGGGCACCCATAAAGTTTGTGTGTTGCTGGAATACGGATTTAGGCTCTTGTTTTTTATTGAGCCAAGCTCGACTGCTAGCTTCGAGCAAATGTTTGGAATGCATGGAAAACAGCTCAATTGAAGTTTTCAGAGGTGCTGGCACCTCAACATAATCGATGGTTGAGCGGCGTAATTACCACCGCTTGGAATTGGCTTTTAATGCTCTCAGAGCGAGGGAAGTTTATTAGCGTTGATGTTGTCAGGCAGAGAGCGAGAGAGAGAGAGAGAGAAGATGGAGTGATCGAGGCCTTGAACGGGCTGTGATTAGATATGGGAATCAATGGAGATTGCTTGCGGGATTTTGGTATCTTAACTGGATCTAGATTGGGCAGTTTTTGAGGGGTGTGGAAAGGATTTTGAAGTTGTTCTTTCAAGCATAAACTACTAAAGAGCAGGGACAAATCGAACAGCTAAATTTAGTTACTCGAACAGCGCGGCTTTACCTGCCCACAGCCAGAAATATCAC